CTTCAATTCTTCCTCTAATGTCCACAAGCAAACACTTGAGCCTAGCATTCTCGGCCTCCAATAAAGCTTGACCCTGAAGCCTCTTCATTAGCTGCCGATTCAAATCTCTCAATCTAACAACTTCATCCTCCAATGATGCATTAAGAGCCTTCTTCTTCTCGCGATACTTGCGTACGGCTTCACGATTACCTACCGGGCGACTCTTAGGTTTTCTCTCTACTGACTCTGCATTATCATCGCTTGGGGATTGAATTTCACTAGGGGCAGGCATAACTTGGGTGTGGATATGGTAACAAGTGTGTGTGTGGGAGTTATCAGGACCATCTGTGTTGCAAGCATGGGCATGGGTGCAGGCCTGTGTACGGCCAAGAGCATCAGTGCAGGCCTCTGTCCAACCAAGAGAATCATTGCAGACCTGCGTTCCACTGAGAAACTCGTCTATGTCAAATGAGCAACTGGCCTGAGCATTGCTCGTATCCAAAGATGAAAATAGTTGATCGCTCAGGATATCAAGCTCCCCGTTGTCCATTTCAACAGAAAATTGGTTCAAATTAAATCAAAAGGTTCACACAATAATGCCTAAAATCAAATTTTGCAGTCTTATCTCAATGAAAAGTGTCCAATTAGAGACTTGTAATAAGACCTAGTAACAAAAACAGCTGAGACTTGTAAGTTAATCAGCCACAACCTATTAGAGAAATAGGAACATTACTTGATTTTAATGATGCCCCAGATGAAACTTACTATCTACACCCAATCAGAAACGTCAAATTTTGGTTTTATGAACTACCGTAAAACCCTAAAAAACCCGATGAAAAATTCCAAAGATTTGAATGTATTAGAATCGTAATTCAGGTGAAATTGAAGTCTACAAACTTAAAAGCAAACTAAAGATTTTACCCTAAAATTAAATAAAAAATACGCAAGAAACAGAAACCCAAACTAAAGAATAATCAAGATAAACCCAAGTTTAAATTTGATCAAATTGAAAACACAAAAAGCGAACAGTAGATTGAAAAGAAATTGGCATACCGGAGAGTAATTTTATTCAGAACTAGAACCATCAAGATTAATCAAGAGAGTCTTGGTGTACGTGTTGTAATTTTTACGACAGTTAGTGTAATTAGCGGGCCCATACTAACGCGAGAAGTTACAACAATCCAACCATTAATGCAAATGCAGAGACTCCAATGTGAATATTTTAATAGCGGATGGACATGTGGCGAAGCAAATGAACCATTGGTTCAGTCAGAGATTCCCGCAGATTCAGATAAGAGAATATTTGAGAGAATAATCAATAATTATCCAGAACTAGAACTATCAAGATTAACATTAATCAAGAGGCGCAGAAGAGAGTTTGAGGGATATCGAAAACAAGTAGTCTTGGTGTATTACGACACTCTCTTAACATTAGGGTAATTAGTGGCTCACACTAACGTGAAAGCGTTACAAAACTCTAGTTATTCTAGAAATGAATTTGTCCTATTGAAAGACTCCAATGTCAATATTTTAATAGCGGATGGACATGTGGCGGCGAAGCATTGGTTCAGCCAGAGATTCCCCCAAATACGGATAGGAGAATATTTGAGAGAATAATGTTGCGGACTAGGTAGTTTCGGTCTTAGGCTAAATTAAGTGCTAACCTTAAAATCATATTTATTTTTTTGGGTGGTATAAGTAGTTATTTTTTAAAGTAAGAATACTATTTTAACGTTAGTCTTTTTTTATTCAATTAATAAAATTTAAAATTTAAATTAAAGTTAACAATTAATTTTAATTCACAAATTTTATCAAAATTTAATAAAAAATATATTGTATGTATTTTTATTATCTAAATCAAATTAGGAATAGTGAGTGGATATTTTAAATTTATAAATATTTTCATCGGTCAATTTTGCATAAAGTTTTCCTTTTTTATGGAGGTACTCTCTTTTATTTTTGATTCTGTGTACTGACAGACATAAAATTAACTTTTTATTATTATTATTTTGTTTATTTCCAAAACTTAAGTTTGATGATATTTACATTAATGCCTTAGCATATTATCAGTTACAAAATCAAAACGTAATATTTACATTAATGCCTTAGCTAGATTCTATTGCAATTAGACTTGATTAGCCTAATAAGTAGCTTTTTTTTTTTAATACTACTAATAATATATTCATTTAATTAAAGAGCACAATAAGTAGTGGACCGAACTCGGCCTGTCAGAGGTCTGTCTATTTTTGAGACTTGTGGGCTGTCCAAGTTTATTCTGTTCTAATTGGGCCAAAAATATTCAACTCAAGCTCCGCCCAACTGTTGATTGTATATAAATTGAATACAATATTGAACCAATGTTTGAATTCGTATATTTAAATTTTCAAACACACATGTACTCATCTAGTTAATTGTTTCAATGAAATGGCGTGATTTTTTCATAGAAAAGTAATAGAATGTCACTTTTTCACATTCTCATTTTTACAAATACATTGAATGCATTAATTGAATTAATTCAAACACATTTGGAAGATTAGGACGTCACATGAATTCTAATTGTCCGCTGAAATGAAGATAACAGTTGTGTGTAACCTTAACCCCAAAAATCATTTTAAATTGTCCAGACATTACGTTATTAGCACAAATAATGACTAAATGTGGGAAATATAAAATCTGACATTTTATGATTTTTTCTTCACACTTTTTTTTTTTTTTTGTAAGTATGATGTGTTGGAGAGTAGAGGAACCACGCCTAAAAATGTTGCACATTCCAAACACGATCCGACGGCCCACATGAAGTCGAAGGTGGCTAATGGGTGGTTAAATCCTGTTTAGTTTCTGAAAAATTTAAAGTAAAAAATACTTTCAATTTTAACCATTTGTCATTTAATCCAAGTATATCATGTTTTTTTTCAAAATGACCCCAAAATATAGGGTATTTGTATAAGAATCCCTTCCCCATAATCAATAGAACCCTGCTTCACATCCCCGACATGGCACTCACATAGATGGGACTGCACATAATTTTTTTTAATACATGGTGGGCCCACCATATTAGTGTCCTAGTGAGCCCCTATGAATTAGTCCCATGTACGTGAGGAATAATTCTAAGTGAAAATTACAGCATACCAGAATTTTAAACTTTCAATTTCAAAATTCAGATTTCTAAGTTTTTATTTCAAAAATTAGATAAAAATTAAAATTTTAAAATTTTAATTTTTAAAAAGATAAAATTAAAACAAGCGAAACCCGATTCCAATTTCCAACTCACAGCAAACCCTTTAAAAATTTCCAACTCACGGCAAACCCAACGTGGAACCCTATGCCACCGAGTACAATGGTTCCACATTGGTGATTTCATTCCAATAAATGAAGAATTTATGATGGAATCAGAAATTAGCCGAAGGATTTTTGGCTCTATTCGCAGGGATCAGTTACCAAACTTTCAAGCCGACCAAACCCTTTTGCGATGCAGCTACATACGGTAGTTGTATTGGAGATTCGAACACGAATTTCAGAAAACGCCATTGTAACTACAATAATCTCTGCGGTAGGCCTAAGAATTGATTAAGGATCAATCAATTATGGTGAGCGTGTACGGATTTGCTTCTTCTACAAAAGAAATGGCCTATCTTTCACTTTTACGCTAAGCTAAACACGATCAATGTTCCCGTTTGTTGTCCTTGTAAATGTATGTATTATAGTGACCAGTGGTTAGGTGCGGTTATAGTGCGCTGCTGTGCGACTGATAATTTTAGATCTGATTTTTTGGGTGGTGGTTGTTGTGACTAATACGTTGAATGTGGTGTTGGTGAGTTGGTGGTGGTCGTCGGAGGTGATGGTGAGAAGTTGGTGGCAATGGGTTGTCGAGGTGGTGGTGGATCGACACGACGCTATAGTGGTGTTTTTCTTCGATATGTTGATTTGTTTGGGATGGTGTTGCTATCGAGAGGTGATGGTGGTGGTGGTGGTTCTAGTGGCGGTGCTGTTGTTGGATAAAGTAGTTAGGTGGTGGTCACGAGTGTTGGTCGTGGTCAAAAATTATTTGGTTGATTGTAACCATTAAATTGGTTAATCTGTGATCAATAAACAATATGTGAGCAATGAAAAAGATAAATTGTGATCAAGAAAT